ACTGTTAGAACAGAACACAGAGAAACAGAATGGTTCCCATTGGCAAGGGGTAAGACATGGCTGCATCCTTTCACCCTATCTGTTCAACTTGTATGCAGAACATATCACACAAATTGTAAGTTTAGACTCACAAAAAGGAGCAGTAAAAATACAGGAAGGACTGTCAACAATCGAAGCAATGCAGATGACACCATGCTACTAGCAGAAAACATCATGGAGTTAGACCAATTATTAGGGAAGGATGAGAAAGAAAGTGCAAAGGCAGCCTTATTGTTAACTAAAAGATGACAAAAATAATGCTCATGGAGGATTTAAATAAATTCAACTTGGACAATGAGGAAATTGAAATAGTAAAAGATGTGGTGCTGGAGAAGAGTGCTGAGGTTTCAGTGGACAGCCAAAAAGTCAAACAAATGGGTCCTAGAACAAATCAAGCCAAAAATCTCACTGGAAGCCAAGATGACAAAACTAAGGGACTTTGCAGACTGCCAGAAATAGTGCAAATTGAGTCCACTTTTAGGGTTAGGGTTAGTGCTAGGGAATCATGGGAATTGTTTTTTTCTGAGACATTGAGCCTTCTCTGTCAGAGAGCTCTGGTGCCACAATAAAATACAGTTCCCATGATTCCCTAACCCTAACCCTTAAAGTGGACTCAATTTGCACTATTTCTGGCAGTCTGCAAAGGCCCTGAGACTATCATACTTCAGGCACATTATGAAAAGTCATGAATCACTGGAAAAAACAATAATGCTAGGAAAGGTGGAGGGAACTAGAACAAGAGGAAGGCCGCATATCAGATGGAGGGACTCTATTAGGGAAGTCACCAGTGTGAGTTTTGCTAGAACTAAGCAGAGTAGTACAGAACAGGGAGTCTTGGAGATGTCTCATCCACAGAGTCACCATAAGCTGGGCCGACTCAATGGCAGTTAACAGCAACAACAAACTATTAGCAAACCAAACCCCACCCACCCCCCACCCTGCCTCTCCTAAAACTTTGCGGGGAGGCCAACAATGAAATACAACAAAAAGAAAAAAAACTGACACAAACTAGGGGCCAAAACGTGGGGGAGGGACTGGACTTTCTTAAGGCTACGTATGAAAAGAAAGGTAACAACGTACCAAATCCACAAAACAGTCACACCTGTATTGTTGTGTGCCTTCAAGTCATTTCCAATTCACAGCAACCTTAACACGAACCTATCATGGTTTTCTGAGGCTGAGAGAGTGTGACTTGCTCAAGGTCACTTGTACTTTATTCTTGTAGTAGGTATAGAGGGCAAAGGACCTTCTGCTGGACAGAGACAAGGGTCTGTTAGCTACATTACCCCCTTGGCCTCAGAGGGAGAGAGGCAGGCCAGCTCCACTGGGCCTAGCCTAGATTAAGAAGGAGAGCCCTCCCTCCAGTCCATCTGCCATGGTCCAAGACTCAGAGGGGGAGGAGAACTGAGGACCTGATCCGCTTCCCCACCACCATTCCCTTTTCCTTTTGTGTCTTGTCTTTTAGATTGTAAGCCTGAGGGCAGGGAACCGTCTAACTAACCATTTATCAGCTGATCTGAGAGCCTTTGTGACTGAAGAGTGGGGTATAAATACTCCAAATAAATAAATAAGGTCATGCATTGGGTTTCCATGGCCGAGCCGTGATTCGAACCCTGGTCCTCAGAGTCATATAGTCCAGCACTCAAACCACTACACCACGCTGGGTATCTTTATTGGACCAACCCAAGTGCATAAAATAGACGTTGCAAGCTTTCGAACCCCAGTTGGGCCAATAAAGGTGGCATGGTTTTGTGGATTTGGGATGTTGTATTTATTTATTTATATTACTTATAATATATAAATATATAAATAAGATGTCGTTGTACTTTGCTATATGGAGGATCTGTTTTGTGAAAAAGAAGGATGACAGGGACGAAGGAGGGATGATGGAGCTGCCAAATGGCCGCCAAGACTGTGGCTGAAGAGAC